TCTTATGCACTTAGCTGTGTGTTGTTGACGGGATGGCACGGACAGAACCAAGCCTGGAACTCACAAACCTGACCATCTTTGCTTTTGTGGTTCTCAGAGACTCTTTTTAATACTCTCAGTCTTAATTTAATCTTAGCATTCTCACAGAACCAGAGTCCCAGGACAGAACATTATTTTAGTTTTGTTAACAACTGTTTAATTTAAAACTTATAAATGCCTTAAGATTAAAAAAAAGTGAGTCCTCACAAAAATATCTCCTACTGACTTTCCTTTATAGTTTCTCACCTTCCTTAATGAAATAACATCAAATAACTGGACTAAAGAACGCTAGGAAAGAAAGAAAAGAACTGAAAACGCTATTTCTGAAAAGAGTATAAAGAAAAGCATAGAGAAGGATCTGTGAAGAAGGAAGACACAAGTAAAAACGTAAAAGTGTGATGATAAATTTGTAGCACGGCACTTCAGTGGCTCATGCAGCAATGGAGAGATTCATATTTATGACCGTTATGCTAAGAGAAGAGCAGGTGAGGCCTGACATAAAGGTAGGAAATGGATTTATGAACTGGAAACTAAAATGTGTCTCATCACTTTATAGCCATTGCCAGTCTCTGGAAATTCACTGGCCTCACGTCATCTTTATTCTAATGTTCGACAGAAAAAAAAAAACTAAGAAGAAAAATAACTTGAAAAAAAAATCACCATTTTGGTGGCTATAAGGAAATATGCTTGCCAATTTGTAGACAACGACTTATACTATATGTCTCACACCTCACAGAAAACATGAATTAGTTTTTACTTCAGTTCTAATCAGCCAGCTATACCGATGGCTTAGCCAGCATCTGTTCTGTTGGTGCCCACGTCATTCCACTTGTTGAATATTTTGAATATCATCCCTGGTTCTAGTGCCACATCTCAATGAACCCATGTGGCCTTACAAACACTTCAGCGTGGGTCAAGGATCAAGCCTGCGAAAATGCACAGAGAACCTCGAACTGAGCAAGCCCATGACACTTGAACATGTCCATACAGGTGCCATCAAGCCACTGGTTGATTTTGATAGCTCTAATTAAACAAGTGTGATTCTGAAGGAAGTACTCTTAAGTACAGAAGGAAGTAATCCTTCTTAGGTATTGGTCAAGATAAGAGAACTGGAGAGTTGGGAAATCATTAGTCAAATCTCCTGTCCATTGCAGAAATCCCTTCCACAATATGTGAGGCCAGTAAGCCTTTGCTTCAACGTTTCCAGCGACAAGATCTCCTCTTTTTCTTGGAGTATCTCATTCCAACATTCCACTACTGAATGCATCTTCCTACTAAATTGTCAGATCAGTATCTGGCTTCTTCTCCTCTAGATCCCTCAAGAACCAATTTTCAAAGTGCAGCGCTTTTCTTTTTCCTACACTTTCTCTTTAATAGAGCTTTCTTTCACTCTCAAGGTTGAAGGGTTACGTCAGGGTTGACCTTGAGCATAGCATCTCTCCACACCTTTAGTCCTGCATTTCTAACTACCTCTGAGATATGGGTTTTTACATTTAAAAAGACATAAGACTCAATATACTTCAATTTCTTTAAACTCCTCTCCCAACGTAAACACGATTGTTGCTGTGTATTTTATCTCTTTTTTTAAACTCAATTAATACATTATTGTTTTATATAATCTGTGTTTGAATTTGGTTACTTTGTATTTTCATCATTCTCATTTTCTTTTGCATCTCAAATAATTGTAGATATTTTAGAACTCTCTTCAGAGAAGGACTTCTAGAAGAGGTCCAGTAATGGCAATTCTGTTTTTGTTGTCTGGAAGTATCTTAATTTTGCCCTCTTTCTTGAGAAATATTTTTGCTGGATATGGAATTCTAGGTTAACAGTTATTTTCTTTCAGAACAGTTTAGGTATCACTCCACTGTCTCTGGCTTCCTCTGTTGCTACTGAGATACCAGCTGTTGGTCTCCTTTGAAGGCAAGGTCTTTTTTTCTGATTGTTTTTAAGATCTTTGGCTATGAGCTCTATCTACAATGTATGGATTTCTCTCTCTTTTTTAATCCTGCTGGGGATTTGCTGGGCTTCTTTAAACACTGCCTCTGCCCCATATTCTTTCTTCTTCTTGTAGTATTCCAATTAGAACACTTTCTCTATCCTCCACATCCCTTAAACTCCCTTTTATAAGCCTGTCCCTCTGGCATATAATTTCTTCGGTTCTATCTTCCAAATCATTAATTCACTAATAATTGTTTTTTATACTTCCCTGAACATCACTTCTTATATTCAATCCATCATAACAAATCCTGTAGGTGGATTCTGCCTTCAAATCTCTGATTTACTTCTGAATACTCGACTCTATTGCTATCACTCCAGTTTTGGGCATCATCTGATTTTGGCAAGATTAGAGGAGTTTGGGGGATCTAAAACTTAGCCTACACATCACTAAGACTTTCAGCTTTCTAAAATATTAGACTTGTAATTTATGTTGGTCTTCTATTACAGATTCATCATCTCCCTCTACTTAATAATGGGTTGAGCCTCAAAATATCACCTTTCTGGTCTGGTCCCACTTTGCCTGTCCAAGCATAGAACCTCAGCCCAAAGTTGGCTTATTTTCTTTTTGCCCCCTGCACAAGCAAAGTGTATGTTTGCTCACATGCTTTTAATCCAGTCTTCTTACCCAAATTACAGAAATCCTTTCAGACCTCTCTCTTTCGAGAACTCTTCCCTGATAACCTCCAACACACTCACTCTGCTTTCTGATTTCCCTGAGCCCTTGCGTGGGCAGTATATATTTTAATCATCTTGACTCAACTAGATACAATTCTTTGGTATTTGAAGTTATAAGTGGCTTAACCAGAATTCTAACCTAGGTCTAACCTAGGTCTCCCAAGTCTGTGCTCCTTCTAATATATAAAATGGCCTTTCTGTAATCAATAAACACTTGTTGATTTGCATAAGAAAGAAACCAGATGCTACAAAATCAGCCATAACAATGCTTTATATTTAACTGGCTTAGCCTAGCTTGGGTGGAACAAAACAGAATCTTAAATGGCATTAAGATTTTTTAACTTTATTCATGTAAGTAAATTTCTTAGGAAATCCCCTCAAAAGGAATTTTGCAGCAGCTTACCAGTAAAGATAAACATTAGCTCTTCCAAATATGATTACTCACTCTGAATCTTTAGTCAAACAACGTCAAACCATCCTTCAGGGTAAATGCTAATCCCTGAAACAGTAAGCCTAAAGGAGGAGCTTACACATCTAGAAGTTCACCCCAGGGACCATACAGTGTTAAGGAAAAGGTCCTAAAAGCCTAGTTTCATAAACTGTTCTAATGTTCATAAACAACCAGTCCAGTTAAAATAGGTTCCACTGCGGCAAACTTACCCAATTCACTTTATATCAAAGAGCTATCATCTCTAGACTTCAACAGTCCTGAGAGGGACTGTTATTTGGGGTTTATAATGTAGAGCCCTCTTTCTGCATTAAAGTGCTCGTCTCTCTTTTTATTTCTAAATAACATATAAGAAATCAAATTGAGTCTGAATAATTTGTAGGGTCAGTTTTAAATATACGTATACATTACATATATAGTATATTACACGTATACATTTTACATATATATGTAAAAGAACCCTCTTGGCATACAGATTTTTGGAAAACAATTGCTTAATTCTAGGCCAAATAAGGGAGGATAGACCAGGAAAAGTAAACTACTCTTAGTATTTCTCTCATAGGACAGTGTTTATCTCTCTTACCTTTCCTGTCCCGTCCTTCATCAACACATACTGGCAGACTTCCTAGGGCAATGCAGAAATCCAGACAAGAGAAGGAAGCACACTAAAATAATGGAGGACAGGCTACAGAAGATGGACAGTGTCAGACATCATGTGGGAGAAAAGAAGGAATTATCAGTTAGCCACTTCATTCAAGAGAAACTAAAACTAGTTATTTCAAAGGTAGAGAGATAAGGAAAAAAAGAAAGATCTTTTACTTCCTTGTAGCAAGGCTCCTTCCAATAAGAACAGAGGAGAGTTGTACTTTAATCTTGAAATTTGTCTTCAGACAAACAGATAAAACTTAGAAAATAGTATAAAGGGATAAAAGATAAATAAGATTTCTCCAATTAAAAAATATTAATCAAGAGATACAATTATAGGTTTTGAGAAAAGAAAAAAAATTCAGAACTAGATTTTTGAAGCAGTTAAGAGTTGTTCTAGCTTTCTTCTCCAAGAGAAAACAGACTATTAAAAGCAATAGGAATCCCAATGTTTACATATAAAAATGATGAATGAGGCATATGCACTTGTGTCCTTAATTACATGGTCTCACACTATGAAAAACGATAATATGCTCACATTTAACGATGGAGTTCTAGAAACTGAACAAAGGAGTCCCACCGAGGAGCTTTTTCACATCAGGACAATCCTCTCTACGTATCTGCATGATGTGAAACACCTCCTCTACCGCTGACCTAGTAACTCCCCCATCTAGAACCACAGTGCTTGAAATACCACCTTTGGGAACAAGAGTCCTTCAGATTCAACACAGCCTTTGTAATTTAGTACTTTTTCCCCCAAATGCAAGACACTATGAAAGTCTGAAGCTACTCACACTAGCAGTGTGATTTTTTTCTTCCAATTAGAGGTAGTTTATAAAGATGGATGCCTGGATGGGTCAAGGGACAGGAAAAGGGGCAAAAACGATATGGAACCCAAGACAAACTGTTTTACAACCTCGGGTACAGCCAGTTCCTTTATTATGAAAACATCATAGGTTAAATCCTCCATATATGTGATTTAGGCATTTCTTTAAAATTAACGCTTAACTTCAACAAGTCAATTAAAGTCACAGTATTTCCAAAAAAGGTAAACAACATTTTTGCCAAGGTTATACCTTCTGTAAAGTAAAAGGCAATTCATGTAAGAATGAATTCATTTTAAAAATGTAAGTGCTTTTATCAATTCTGATAACATCTGAATAGTCTATCCAAATTTATTAAATAAAACACATACCTCATATTCTTTTCTGCAAACTTTGGAAATATCATTTTTTGAAGATGCCTAAAAGATAACAGATTTCCCCGTTAATTTATTACACATGCTATTCTGCACAGGACAAAAAAGAACAGAAGTTAATATAAGTATATGTTAATTGTTAGTATTCTTTTTTTTGCTGAGGAAGATTTGCCCTGGGCTAACATCTGTGGCCAATTTTCCTCTATTTTCTATGTGGGCTGCTGCCACAGTATGGCCACTGAGGAGTGGTGTAGGTCTACGCCCAGGAACCAAACTTGGGCCGCTCAAGCGGAGCATGCCAAACTTAACCACAAGGCCACCAGGGCTGATCCTATAATATTCTTTATTTCATCAAGGAAAATGTTATGCTCAAATATTTAAAAGTTTCTAAATTACAACAAACAAATTTCACGCAATTTCTTTCTTTTTTTTTTTTGAGGAAGATTAGCCCTAACATCTGCTGCCAATCCTCCTTTTTTTGCTGGGGAAGACTGGCCCTGAGCTAACATCCGTGCCCATCTTCCTCTACTTTATATGTGGGACGCCTACCACAGCATGGCTTGCCAAGCGGTGCCATGTCCACACCCAGGATCCGAACCGGCGAAGCCCGGGCCACCAAAGTGGAATGTGTGAACTTAACCACTATGCCACTGGGCTGGCCCCAACGCAATTTCTTTAGAACAAACATCAGCCCCAGAACCTAAGAACTTCACTCTAACTGTAATGGCTTTAATCTCACATCATAACACGGTCCTTATGTTAATTCAGAAACTAAATGACTTTGAAGGAAAAGTAAATCAGAGGACTTTTTGTCTTTTAGCTGAATTCCACTCTGTAGCAAATTTTCTTGTGAAGCTCTGCCAGGGCGTTTATATTTTGCTTTTTCTTTAACCCTCCGTATTTTAAATTCTCATGCTGACTTATGAGCCAACTTCCTCAGAAAAAAATCCATATATAATAGAGGGGACAATTAAAGAGGAAAAGGCTATGGCAGGCAATTAACAAAAGTTATTTTTAAGAAATTCTCTTAAGTTTATGAAGAAGATATCGGTTCTACAGATGAAGAAAGTGACACTAAGAGAAAAGGCAAGTTATTCGCACATTTAAGTATGTACTTTCCATATAAAACAAGCCAAAACAAATCTGCTGAGGGTGGTCACATCTCCGTCTAGAGATGTAGTTCCACAGCCATGGGCTCTGGTTCCTCGTTCCATTCCCTCCTGTTCTTCACCTAGGCTCATGCAATTTTGAACAGGCCAGCTGATGAGGACAGGGAGAGCAAGAAGCAGAACAGACCTGGCAACTATTTTATGACCCACTAGACCCACTCTAGTCCAAACCCTCTGCAACTCAGCTGCATTCCACTGCCTGGAGGAGAGCAGCAGACAGCTAGGCTGTGTGCTGCCCACAGAGTGCGTAATCCACATCAAAGTGAAGGCGACACCAAGTCTCATATGCTCCTGTCCACAGACCAGTCGCTACAAGAAGAAAATAAAAGAAGGATTTCCAGCCGTGGTTTCTGGTCCATCTAAAGTTCCCAGTTAAGTCTACTCCTACCACTAGGAGTATGAGGAGCCAGGAGACCAGTTTCCCCACAGCCCCCGGAGGAAGCACCGTGAAAATAGACACAGGGAGGAAGAACTCAGGGGCCTAACCTGAACTGCACCAGAAAAGTCATAATTCACTGCAGGAGTCATGCTCACCTTCGGAGCAGAGAAGGCATAGAAGAATATGCTCAGGGTAAAACCATGGTGAAAGACAGAAGAGAGGACGAAAGCAAAGGAGGTCAGCTGTGTCAAATGCTTTCATCCGAGCACACCCTACACTCTCGAGCGTCTGGAATCATTCAGCATTGATAAGCATGATGACAGGCAAAGTACAGAAGACCTCAATTGCTATAGTATTCTTTGTGTGGCAGAGAGAAGGCAAGAAAGAACAGAGACGGCTAAGGGTCCCACATGCAGCAGCCATAACTGAAAAAGCAGCAAGCCTAAAAGGAAGCGTCTACGCAAGAAACGCTAAATGTGCAGCTTTCATGGGTCACCTCTTCAAAGGTACGAACGAGGGAGGCGAGGTCCAAGACATGCACAGCCAAAACTCAAACTGTACTCCCTGCTGACTGATTAAGAGCTCGAGTGCCCAGTGTTACCTGCTTACACGCCTGTCGACACTCCAAGGTGATAGCCAGTTCACAGCAACCTAAGCCAACCCAGCCGTCAGACTTCTTAAACACACCTTAAAAACAGAATGTTCAAATATTTTGGTCATTAGTACTGACAAACACAAAAAGCATGCCAAGTTGACTCATGGATGCCACTAAAGTCACAGCAGGCACCCACAGGAAAACTGGCTCAGACAGTAGGACCTCAAAACCACTGAGCCTATGTTCTTCCCCTTCCTCCCAGTGCCGCCAGTCTTCTCAGGTCCCCCAGCCCAGCAGAACTATCAGGTCCTTTGCTGTCCCTCTCCTCTCTCTGTCCACCCTAATCTTTAGGTCATTCTCACTCCTGGGTGGACAGCAACTCTACAAGACGTGCAGGTTAAGGAAAGCAAAGAGAAGCCTTCCTCACCTTTAGACTGAATCACAGGCAAAGATTCCAATTTAACTTAACAAGCAAACAAATAAAAAAGGGCCTAAGTATCACTGTATTCAAAATATTAAATACCTAGAATAGTGTAAAACCCATGAGGTTGTTTAAAAACTGTATTTAGTAAACCAACAGGAACATCTTCTGTGAGTCAGGACTGACTTTGATGGGTGCACTTAATTATGAGGCAAAATGATTATTCTGGTTAATTTATACACAGCAGCTACTGCTCCAACCAAATTATTGTGAGACCAAAAGGTGATAAAATTATAAAAAGTGTTCTAATGCATTTTTAGATCCCTTTTTGCAATTATCAATGTCAATGAATGACTCCTAGGATAAAATCAGGAGATACAAGCAATGATTATGAGAAAAGATTTATACAAATTCTTCCTTATATCTTTTAGAAAATGCTTTACGCTGCTTCCGTGTAATACACAGATCTACAAATCCACATCTATATTAAATCAGATTATTATTTACATTTGAAAAACACGTCAGGGATTCGAGGCAACAGGTAACATAGTTCTCCAAATGAATCTAGGACTTACAACAAATAGAAGCCTTCCGCTAAAAAACAAAACAAACAAAAGCAAACGAATGACCCACAGATAGCAAAGTTCTCAAAATATAATTACAGACTGCCCAATTATTAAAACTGGCTAAAAATACTGCGTATCATAAGCTTCTATATCCTCATATACTTTAGGGGTACAAAGGGCAACGGGCTCCCATCTAGCCCCACTGCCTAGTACAGTTTCTCTAAATCTTTGCTGCTTGCTATTCAGAATCACTCATATTTTCGAAAGAATTTGAACAGAATCAATGTAGGTCAAAAACTCTGTGGTCAGCTGGGGCTGACCCCGGGGCTGAGCAGTTCAGTTCGCATGCTCTGCTTCTGCAGCCCAGGGTTTCGGTGGTTCAGATCCTGTGAGTGGACATGGCACCGCTCGTCGGGCCACATTGACGCGGCGTCCCACATGCCACAGCTAGAAGGACCCACAACTGAAAATATACAGCTGTGTGCTGGGGGGATTTGGGGAGAGGAAGCAGAAAAAAAAGAAGATTGGCGCCAGTTGTTAGATAGGCGCCAATCTTTAAAAAGGAAAAAAAAAAACCAAACCTCTGTCAACTTTTACACCATAATGCAGTATACTGCTGTTTCCACACAACTAGTGGCCTCTTAGAAAGTATTAAATTGTTCAATAAGCATTAATTTCCACTGAGCCCCTATTCTGCACAAGGCACTCTATTAGGTATCATGCGGGCTATGAAACAGATAAAATATATGATTTCTCCCATAATGGAGACTACAGGTTGGTAGGAACAATGTATATGTGCGTGCACATACAGTATATGTATGTACGTATGTGTATATATATAAATGTAATTCCAGGACACTATGTGGAGGGATAACTAGGAGAACAAGCAAGGATGTGGGCAATTCCAGGACGACAAATAGTCCAATTTGTTTGAAATACAAACTTCAAACAGTGTGACAGCCTTTAGAATTCAGAGATACATAAGATATACTCCCTTTGTCCAGGGCACTGGCTGTAACAAGGACCAGAAGATGAGCTTTAATCTGAGGAGACTAGGAATGGTAGGCTAGGGAAGTGGGTCCTTATTCTGACGGAAGTGGCTATCTCCTAAAGGACCTTTTTGAAGGAGGTGAGGAGGACAGATATAATGTGTTGCAATACCGGTTACAAGGTTATTACAATATTCTACTCCAAGCGTGTAATAAAGGCTTCAACTAGGAGTAGAGAGAACAGACGCAAGATTTTACAAGGGGAGAGTCAATGGAGCTAAAAAGAAAAAGCAATCAAGATAACTTGAGGGTTTCCAGTCTAGTGCCATTCATAGAACAAGCAGCTATAAGAGGAGTCTGGTTCTGGATTTGCACTTCAGACACCATGTGGATGCAGAGATCCAGGTAGAGATGTTCAGAAGGCATGATCCAAGACTTGGATTTGAAAGTTATCTTCCCAGAGCTGATTAGTTAACAGTTCTGGGAAGGAATGCCATTACCAGAGTGACCGTGGACAGAGAAAGAAAGAGGATGCACACAGAAATAACAGTCCTTGGGGTGGGGAGGCAGGGAGGTCAGAGCGGACATGATAATGAGGCCAAGGTGGAGTCACAAGGAGGTAGTCAGTAGTCAATATTATCTAGTGTTGCAGGGAAGTTGAAGAGATTAAATACTGAGAAAAAGTCTTAAGATCTAGGAATCAAGAGATCCTGTGATCTTTCAAAGACCAGTTTCAACAGAATGGTAGAAGTGGAGATAAGAGTACAGTCAAGGATTGAGTGAATGAGAAATTACACATTTGAAAATGTGGGTGCCCGCAGGAAGGGGAGGATAGAAACTCAAGGGTACACATTAAGTTATAGGACTATGACACGGATTTTACAATCACAAAACAAGTTTTTAAAAATAAAGTGCCGTATGTTATACTTCTATAGCTTACCTGGCAAAGATGAATTCATACAACTCCAAATTTCAACCTAAAATTGTAATCACCAAAAGGCTTTTATGTAGGTAAGCAGTTCCTAAATACAAGAATTAAATTCTACAGAAATTGTGTACAGCTAATTTGACCACGTTTGTCTCTATACAGTCAACGTTCTAGGACTATATGAGTATCCACCAGCTATTCAGGGAAGAAAAAATAAAACTGAGATGCAAAAATATTGCTTGCTCTTTTCCCATCTTCCCATCTAAGAGCACTAAGGATGAGTCTGGTTCCTCAAGATGCTCACTGGAATCACTGCTTCCAAGCACAAAGATGAAAGTGTCTGCAGAATGACTAAAGGGAAACGTGTCAGTCAGAACTGTTTGAGCATCACCTTTCCCCCTCACAGAAGGCAAGCTGCCACATCTAAAGAGGCTCTCAGGCAGGCTCAGACTGCCTTAGCCCGGCCCACGAGCATCCCAAACATGGAGGACAGCCCAGGCAGGAGAGACATTTTAAGTCACATGATTCGGACAGGCAAGCGGTACATCTACTGTATACCAGAAAATGGGAAGAGAGGAAGAAGGAGAAGCACGTTTTCCCTTATCCCAAATCCAACTTTTCAAAATCAAACAAATACAAGATTTAGTTATGGTTTTCATAAAATTGTCAAAATATAATAAGTAAAATTCCAAATTCCAGTTAAGCTATAATGAAATTTAAAGACTGCAATACATTTATATTTAATATTGTTTTTATACTACATCAGAGAATAAAGAATAAAAGGTGAAAACAATATTCTATCTAGCAATTTGTGTGAAGATCTTTGTAAAGTACCTAGTTAAAGGTAACATTTTACTTTGACCACAAACTCCAATCACATTGAAAAATGTGCTAAATCTAAAAGTAACCTATCTGATGGCTTCATTTAGATAAAAGCTTCCATAGTTCAGTTAAACAAGACCTACCATTGTTTCAGGGCAATAATCTGGGGCTCGCTGTAACAGATGTTTTAGTCGGGATTCACTTTTTGAGGAGAATATCTATTTGACAAAAGAAAAAAAAGGTTTTTGTGGCATTTTTTCCATAAGAAATAAGAAGAGGTAAAATTTATTATCCTCTATACTAATCAGTTGTCTAGAATATTTTCCAACTCCTTTCATAAATGGAAAACATTTGGAAAGATCTAAATTAAGCTGAGGTAACATTTCTTAAAAGGTTGGTTAGTTTGGCAACTAATCAAGAAAGTCCAAATATACTAGGTCTGGATCCTTTTCTAATGACCAAAAACAGAGAAAACCAGGCTGAAAATCTGTTAGAGAATGGGGGAGAAAAAGAAGAAAACAGAAAAGGAAGAAAAAATGATAAATTTATTTTAAACTGTTCTACAAACTGCTTTTAATCAACTAACCACAATGAAAAATAGACTATGTCACACCATTGATATTGGTGAAGAACAAATCTGTGAACAGCATTATGGCATAAAGTTCTCCATAAAACAAAGACAAAGTCTTTTAATAAAGATACCAAGGAGATGACAAGTTCACTCACTAGCTAGAATATCACCATTTTGCAACCCCTAGTGAATTAATGCATTTAGACAATTATCAACGACTGCTAACATCACCAGAAGAGACATCCAGACACAATACCATTTATGAGCCAGACTTGCCAAACAGAAAAAAAAGAAACCTGACCCGAATCTGATCAAGGTGAATGAATTTGTCTCAGAAGACAGCTCCCAGCTACGTGAAGCTATTTAGATTTAAACTTAAACAATTAAATAAAATTTAAAAATCACCTCCTCAATCTCTTTAACCACGTTTCAAGTGCTCACTTGACACATGTGGCTAGTGGCTACCATACCTCTAGATTGTCCATTTTGTTGGCATATAGTTTTTTGTAGTGTTCTCTTATAATCCGCTGTAATTCTGTGGTATCCATTGTTATTTCTCCTCTTTCATTTCTACTTTTATCTGAGCTTTCTCTCTTTTTTTCTTTGTAAGTCTGGCTAGGGATTTGTCGATTTTATTTATCTTCTCAAAGAACCAGTTCTGTGTTTCACTGATCCTTTCTAGTGCCTTTTTTGTTTCAATAGCATTTATTTCTGCTCTGATTTTCATTACTTCTCTCCTTCTACCTTGTTTGTTCTTCTTTTTCTAATTCCATTAGGTGTAGTTTGAGATTGTTTATTTGGGACTTTTCTTGTTTGTTAAGGTGAGCCTGTACTGCGATGAATTTCCCTCTTAATACGGTTTTTGCAGCATCCCAGATGAGTTGGTATGATATGTTTTCATTTTCATTTGTCTCCAGATATTTTTTTATTTCTCCTTTAATTTCTTCAATGATCCACTGGTTGTTCAACAGCATGTTGTTTAGTCTCCATATCTTTCTCCTTTTCTCAGCTCTTTGCTTATAATTCATTTCTAGCTTTATAGCATTCTGATTGGAAAAGATGCTTGTTATTATTTCAATCTTCTTAAATTTATTGAGGCTTGCCTTATTTCCCAACATATGTCTATCCTTGAGAATGCTCCATGTGCACTTGAGAAGAATGCGTATTTTGCTGTTTTCGGATGGAATGTTCTATATATGTCTGTTAAGTCCAACTGGTCTAGCTTTACATTCAATTCCACTGTTTCCTTGTTGACTTTCTGGCTGGATGATGTATCCATTGATGGGAGTGGAGTGTTGAGGTCCCCTACTATTATTGTTATTGTTAATATCTCCTTTTAGGTTTGTTCATAGTTGCTTTATGTACTTTGGTGCTCCTGTGTTGGATGCATAAATATTTACAAGTATTACTTCTTCTTGATGGAATGTCCCTTTGATCATTATATACTGCCCCTCTGTCTCTCTTTACCTGTCTTATCTTGAAGTCTACTCTGTCTGATATAAGTATTGCAACACCTGCTTTCTGTTGTTTGCCGTTGGCTTGGAGTATTGTCTTCCATCCCTTCACTCTGAGCCTGTTTGTCATTGGAGCTGAGATGTGTTTCCAAGAGGCAGCATAGTGTTGGGTCTTGTTCTTTAATCCATCTCACCACTCTGTGTCTTTTTATTGGAGAATTCAATCCATTTACGTTTAGGGTGATTATCAATATATGAGGGCTTAATGCTGCCATTTTATCACTTGTTTTCCAGACTTCCTGCATTTCCTGTGTTTCTCGTACTGTGTATTTTGGTCTACCAGTCAAATTATGTAGTTTTTTTATTTTGTGTTTCTTTGTTTTCTCCTTATTTATTATTTGTATCTCTGTTCTGCTTTTTTGTGAGTGGTTACCGTGAGGTTTATATTCAAAATCTCATGGACAAGATAGCCCCTTTTTTGATGGCCTCTTATTTCCTTAGAATAAACCAATTCAGTCCCATTCCTCCTCCCCTCCTAAGTTGTTTTTCTCACATCTTATTCCATCTTGTGTTGTGAGTTTGTGGTTAAAATCACAAGATTACCTTTTCTTTTGGTGTTTTACTTCCCTTTGCCTTTAATGATTTATTTGAGCATTTGCTATCCTGCTCTGATTCCGTCTGCCTATTTATTATTCCATGCTTTGTAACCCCTTGCTTTTTTTTTTTTTTTTAGGTATGAGGGCCTTCTTGAGTATTTCTTGTAGCAAGGGGTCTAATGGCTATGAACTTCCTTAGCTTATGTTTGTCTGGGAAAGGTTTTATTTCTCCATCATATCTGAAGGATGTTTTTGCTGTTTAGAGTACTCATGGCTGAAAGCTTCTGTCCTTCAAAGATTTGAATACCTCATTCCATTCTCTCCTAGCCTATAAGGTTTCTACAGAGAAATCTGCTGAAAGCCTGATAGGGGTTCCTTTGTATGCTATTTTGTTCTGCCTTGCTGCCCTTAGTATTCTTTCTTTGTCATTCACTTTTACCAGTTTCACTACTATATGCCTCGCAGTAGGTCTTTTTACGTTGACGTATTTAGGAAATCTGGTAGCCTCTTCTACAAGGATTTCCTTCTCTAGGTTTGGGAAGTTATCTGCTATTATTTCTTTTAACAATCTTTCTGCTCCATTCTCCTTCTTGAACACCTATAATTCTTACGTTGCATTTCCTAATTGAGTTGGATACTTCTGGGAGACTTTCTTCATTTCTTTTTAGTCTTAGTTCTCTCTCCTCCTCTATCTGGAGCATTTCAACATGTCTATCTTTGATTATGCTGATAGGCTCCTCTGTCATGTGTGCTCAAGCGTTCCGGGAATCCATATTTTGTTTTAATTCTTCCATTGTGTCTTTCATCTCTAATACTTGTGACTGATTTTTCTTTATAGTTTCAATGTCTTTTGTGAAGTAGCTCCTGAACCTGAATTGTTTCTCTACATTCTCTTTTACCTTGTTTTTTGATGATAGCTATTTTGAATTCTTTGTCATTAGATTAGATATTTCTGAGTCCTCAGGGCTGATTTCTGGGTACTTGTCATTTTCTGTCTGGTCTGGAGATGTAATATAATGTTGGATATTGCTAGAGGGCATTGTTGTTTTTTGGCACCCTGGTATTATTTGGTTGCAGTTACTGCCTATTGCCACTGGGTGGGAGTCAAGAGCAGCATATTCTGAGCCCTCTGTCTTCCAGGAGATCCCAGGTGCTGGAGCCAGGCTGGGTGGGTGCGGGAAGGGGCGCTTTCTCCACCAAGCTCTCGGGCTGTTCTTACTCTTCTCTCACTATCTGCTCTCCTGGGGGCTTGATAAGGTCATCCCCTGTGAAAGTTTTTGGCTCAGTAAATGGCTTTCCCTCTAGGCTGCAGGGCCCTTGGGGATCCTTGATGTTCCCGCAAACGAATGTCCCCTCCGCCATTCCTTCCCTCTTGAGGCCACCCACAGTCTTGGATCACAGTCTTTAGGGAAGGAAGCGAAGCTTTCTCTTACCTGGTTCCACCTCTCTGCCCTCCATTGCATGGCTGCCTAAGTCTCTCCACCATTTTTTCTGTTGTGTTTGGATGTCCACTGTTGGAGTATGAATGTCTTTTTTGTTGTATGGGGGGGCTCAGATTACTGGGAAAGCTCACTCCGTCATGATGCTGATGCCGTCACCCTCAGTACGACGTATTTTCATTATCATTTGTCTCCAAGTATTGCTCGATTTCTCCTTTGATTTCTTCATTGATCCAATGGTTGTTCAGTAGCATGCTGTTTAGTCTCCAAACACCTGTCACTTTCCCAGCTTTTTTCTTGTAGTTGATTTCCAGTTTCATAGCATTGTGATCAGAAAAGATGCTTGATATGATTTCTATCTTCTTAAATTTACTGAGGCTTGCCTTGTTTCCCCAAAAAATGGTCTTTCTTTGAGAATGTTGCATGTGCACTTGAGAAGGATGTGTATTCTGGTGGTTTGGGATGGAATATTCTATGTATATTAAATTCATCTGCTCAAGTGTTCCATTTAAATCCATTATTTCCTTGTTGACTTTCCATCTGGATTATCTATCCATTGATGTAAGTGGGGTGCTGAGGTACCCTACTATTATTGTGTTGCTGTTGATTTCTCCCTTTAGGTCTGTTAATAGTTGCTTTATGTACTTTAGTGCTCCTGTGTTAGGCGCACATATATTTATAAGTATTATGTCCTCTTGATGGAATGTCTCTTTTGTCATTATAATACTACCTGTCTCTCATTGCCTTTTTTATCTTGAAGTCTGCTTTGTCTGATCTAAGTATGGCAACACTTGCTTTCTTTTGCTTGCCATTTTCTTGGAATATCGTCTTCCATCCCTTCACTCCAATCTGTTTGTCTTTAGAGCTGAGATGTGTTTGCTGGAGGCAATATATTGTTGGGTCTTGTTTTTTAGTCCATTCAGCCACTGTGTGTCTTTTGATTGCAGAATTCAATCCATTTACATTTACAGTGATTATTGACATATGAGGGCTTAATACTGCCAAATACTTAATACTAGAAATCTTTTGTTTTCTAGTTGGTCTATATTTCCCTTGTTTTTCTTCCGCTGTAATTCTGATTGTCATTTCATTTTGGTGATTTTCTCTGATGGTTTTCTCTATCATTTGCGTCTTGCTCTGATTTTTTGTTTGGTGGTCACCGTGAAGTTTGTATCAAAGATCTCGTAGATAAGATAGTCCATTTTCTGATAACCTCTTATCCCCATTAGCCTAAGCAGGTTCCATCTCTTTCCTCTTCTCCTTCTAAGTTACTGTCAGAAATTATTCCATTTTGTGTTGTGAGTTTGTGACTAAAATGAAGTGTTTATAGTAATTTTTGATGCTTTCTTTCCCTTTAGCTTTAATGCTGTAATTTTTTGCTAACCTGTTCTAACAGACAGCTGCAATTTTCCGATTTTGTCTATTTATCTCCTTGCTCAAGAGTTTGTAAACCTTTGCCTTTTTGTTTCAGTTATGAGGGCATGCTTAATCATTTCTTGTAAGGCAGGTCTAGTGGAGATGAACTCCCTCAGCTTTTGTTTATCTGGGAAGCTTTTATTTCTCCATCAGATTTGAAGGATAGTTTCACTGGATAGAGTATTCTTGGCTGAAAGTTTTTGTCTTTCAATATTTTGAATGTATCACCCCAATCTCTCTTAGCCTGTAAGGTTTCTGCTGAAAAGCCTGCTGAAGGTCTGATAGGGGTTCCTTTGTAGATTATTCTCTTCTGCCTTGCTACCCTTAATATTTTTTCTTTGTCATTGACTTTTGCCAATTTTACTAATAATCTTGGAAAAGGTCTTTTTGCATTGATGTGATTAGGAGTTCTATTGGCTTCATATACTTGTAAATCCAGTTCCTTCCCCAGGTTTGGTAAGTTCTCTGCTACTTTCTCCTCTGGAATACCTCCAGTCCCTATGTTGCATTTCCTAATTCAGTCAGATATTTCTGGAAGTTTCTTCATTTTTTTAAGGCCTTAGTCCTCTCTCCTCCTCCACCTGAAGCATATCTGTATGTCTGTTCTCTAAATTACCAACTCTATCCTCCATAATGGCAGCTCTGTTTTTTAAGGTTTCTAGATTGTTTTTTGTCTCATACATTGTGTACTTCTTCTCCAGAATTTCTGTTTGGTTTGTTTTAGAATTTCAATCTCTTTGGTGAACAATTCCTTCTGCTCATTAATTTTATTCCTGAGTTCACTGCACTATCTTTCTAAGTTTTCTTCTAACTCGTTGAGTTTCTTTATGACAATTATTTTGAATTCTCTGTCATTTAGATCATAAATTTCTGTGACTTCAGGATTGGCTTCTGGAGACTCATCATTTTCCTTCTGCTCTGGAGTGTTAATGTAGTTCTTCATGGTGTTTGATGAAGTGACCCTTTGCCGGCAGACAGTGGTAGTATCAGGTTGCAGATTCCACCTACCACCTCTGTGGGGTGCAGGAGCTGTGTTTTCTGAAGCTGCTGCATCTGCTGGAAGTTGTGCTGTTAGGGCTTGTCTGTGTTTGCCCACTGGGTGCAGCCACTTGGCAGGTCACACACGCACATGCAGGTGCTCCAGTGTAGATCTGCTGCCTTGGCCAGGGACCAGTCATGCTGGTGTACTAAGCAGGAGGGGAGGAGCACTTTCTTTCATGCATGTCGGACTGCTCTGCATTCAGGGGCAGTTCACCAGGGTTGCCGCACTTGGTAGGGGTGACCATGTGTTGGCTGAGCCACACCACTCAGTATGGAGCCTTCCCATGGGCCTGGCTACAACTCCAAAAGGACTCACACAAGTGCTAATCAGCTCCACTGACACACATAGGCTGGGGCTACAATCCATTTTCACATGGAATGCCAGATCAATTCCTCATTCTCTACAGTCCCCAACCCCTCCTCAGGCCATCCATCCTCGAGGGGTTGAGGAGCTGGTTAACTCTCTGCACCTCTGGCTACCCACAAGCTTTGGCCTTCTCTGTATTCTCCCCAGATACAGTCTGCTCCTCAAACCATTGTCAGGCAGAGCAGTCCAGTGGAACTCTGAGAAGGGAGTCCAACAGGCCTGGATTCCAGTCCCAGGTCAGCAACTAATGTTTGACCTTGGACAAGTCACTTCACTCCTAACCTCAATTTTCTCACCTGAGTAACAGGGATAAAAATTTTAGTTCTGCAGGGTCTCTGTGAGGATCCAAATTATATCTAGTGAATGTAAAGTTGCAAAGCATTGCAAAATGTAGCTAACATAAAGCATGGGCTGCCGATTCTAGAAGAACAGATTCTTTCTTAAAGTTCTCATGATAAAGCATCTAACTGAAAAATTAATGTTAATATTCTAATCACCTTGTGAGTAACTTTGATTTCCTCTCAAGCTTCTGTTTGTCCTCATTCTGATCTTTCTGGCTATGACATTTTGTTGAAAAATTATTTCCTATCTCTCTGGAGTAAAATATATTTTCTACCTTCAGAAAAAAAAAGAATTTGTTGCAAAGGCCTGCCTGCTCCCCCACCTCCTCTTACAGTCATGCACCAGCTGCTGCGTGAGGACGTGCAACCTAGATCACTGTTGCTGGGGAGCGGGGGGTATCCTCTCACTCCTTCTAAGTGCTTTCTGTGGATCCAGTATCCCCATCTTCAGATGTATGGCTACATGGATCTCTCAGACATCCTATTATGCTTTGTAGGGAAATATTCTGTTGGTTAATCAATGTTCAGTTTGGTTGTAACTTAGTAGGGAGAGACTAAGAGAACAGCTCACTCCACCATGATGCTGACATCACCTGCATTTCTCAATTCAAATTCTAAAAGCTTTAATTCCAAATCTCCAACTGCCTTCGCACAATGGTTTTCACTGATAATTCAGCAACTTGCCTTCCTCCCAAACCAAATGTTTTTACCAACCTCCCACAGCCATTACAGGTACTATTATTCACTCCAACTCAAACCTTAAACGTCATCAGGACTCTGCCATTTCTTCATTCCCTAGTGGCTGAAGAAATAAAGGTTCCTCCCTCCAGGTATTTCTTTTCATTAAGTAAGCTCTCCGAGTTTTAGCAGCCCAGGCTCTCTGCACATGACTCACCCCTGTTCCCGTGACTGGGATAACTGACTTGCCTAAGTGGTGAGTTTGGTAGGAGAAAGTGAACACATGCAACCCAACCCTGTCCTCTCCTCCTCTGGGACTAAGTCTAACTCTGCAGTGTAGTATGTATCTGGAGATAAAAGTTACATTCAACATTTGTGTAACTAGTAATAAAAGTAGTATTTGGGGTCCTATCTGCCTTATTCTTTTGCCTTATTTCTCAAGTAATTAAGAACTTAGACAGGGAAGAATGTTTTTTATTAGGGTAACAATAGTATTCACTTAATTTGCTAAGTTATAGAATTTCTAACATTTCAGATGTTAAGCAATTAGACCTTGCTTGCTGCAGCCACCTCACAAAAATCATTCACCCTGTGGAACACCAGTGGGAAAAGACATGAGGAAACAAAGCAAAAAGTCAGGAAAGCGGTGCTTCCAAAAGTAGCAGATCTAGTTTAAAAGCTCCCCTATGGTAACACCATCAAGGGGCTATTTTTGCTTTTACAAGCTATTGTTCTGGTACTAAATTCACACAAAACTTAATTTGCTAGACTGTTTCCACATGAATTCTCCAGCAGCTCTTTAGATGAGCTGAGTGACTGCCTTGTTTTATAATTAGAGAGTATCTTGCAAAATCTTTCTAAGTTCATAATATTATTTGAGAGTTTTAATCCCAGTTAAGCAGCTCTCTCAGTATCAGGAGGTGACAAAATCCACATCATTATTTGAAAACTCCTCCAAAAGTTAATTGAAGCCATTCGTTCTCAAGTGTTAAAGTCAGAACTACACAACCAAGGTGATGAAAGAAAGATAAGACTTTATGAACAAGTATTGTCTCAGTGGAACTTGCCTAATAAGGCTCAACCAGAAAAATTCAAACCTACAGAAAAGTTCCAAAAGTAGTACAATGAACATAGTCTTCATCTAGATTCACCCACTATTAACATTTTGCAACATTTGCTTTAACTCTATCTACATATACAGGTATTACTATTATTCTGATGAAACATTTTAAAATTCATTACAGACGTGATCATTCACTCTTAAATTGTAGCATGTTATCTCCTAAGAACAAGGACACTGTCCTACCTAACCACAATACAATCACCAAATTCAGGATCACAGCACTGATACGATATTATTACAGTCCATACTCAAACTTCACCAATTTATCCCAATAATTTATCCTTTATAGCAATCTTTTTTTTCATTCCAGCATCCAATCCAGGATCCCACAGTACATTTACTTATTTAGTTTCCTTTAATCTGGAAGTTTCTTAGCCTTTGTTTTTATAACACTGATACCTTTGAAGAATACAGCCTGTTGTTTTGAGAAATATCCCTCAACCTGGGTTTTATTGTTTCCTCATGATTCAAGTTATGCATTTTTGGCAGGAACCATACATATGATACAGCACTCCTTTTCACTACATCAAGTCAGCAGACACATGTTAATCTGTTCCATTACTGGTGATGCGAACTCAGATCACTTGGTTAAGGTGCTGTCCAACAGATTTCTCCAAAACAATTATACTTTAACGGTTACGTAACTAACAGCTTCTACAATTCGTATGTAGCTTACCTGTTCACATACATCACGGCACATTTGGTTATCCTTTGAGTGATTACAGCACAGTGCACCTATGGAGAAAAAATAAGATGATTAATAAATCAGACGGTTACACAAACCATTTATTCAACAGATTATTGTTGTTATTCATTTTAACTCAACAAACTTTTACTACTCACCTGTTACAAGCCAAGGACAGTGTTAAGTTTGAGGACATGGTTCCTGCCCTCAAGAAGCGTGCAGTCTAACAGGGGAAACTGTCATGTAATAATAACAGCTACTATGTATTGTGTACTTTCTATGTGCCAGAATTTTACTAAGTTTGCTTGATGCATTATCTCATTTAATCCTTATAACTACCCTATGGACTAAATTCTATTATATATTATACATATAATGTAAGGTTAAATAACAAAAAGATAGTGAATTCTGTTTTGGACATGTGATATTTAAGGTTCCTATAGGGCATCCTGATGGAAATTGCAGTCAAGTCGGAAACCCAAGCCTGAAGTGCAGACAAAGCCAAGCCTAAAGATCCAAATTTGGAAGTCATCAGCATAAAGGAGACACATGGAAATGAATGACATTGCCTAGGGAGAGTTTCTAGTGAGAAGTGAACGCAGCACCGAATTCTAAAGAACAGCAACATCTGAGACATGGCAAGAAACAAGCAAAGGGACTGAGATGGAACAGTCAGAGCAGTAGGTCAACCACAAGAGAGCGGCATCATGGAAGAGGGAGCAGTTAGTATCGGGCACCACAACAGTCAGGTTAGATTGAAGACTCAAAAAAGGAAACAGACTTACTAATTAGGAAGCCTAATTAGTGACTTAGTGACCTTCACAAGGTACTTTCTGTAGAGTTGGTAGAAGTGAATGACAGTAAGGAGTAACCCAGAGGTGAGGAAGTACAAGCAGCGAATATAGACTCCTAAGAAGTCTCAAGAAGGGAAAGAAAGTCGTAGTTACCGCAAGATGCAGGATCAAGGGAAGATTTCTCGTCCCCTTTTCTAGAGTGGCTTTTGTCTCTGGTTTCTGGGAGACTTCAATCCCTAGAATTTCCTGAGTAAGAGGAGTGTCTTTGTTATGCCAATGACGTGACCTCCCCCCTCCATTGTCTCACTTAGATAGTTTCAGGATGGGAACTGGTCAGCCAGAAAGACCAGCAATGTGATTAGAGTGGGGGCTTGGAGCCACAGGATATCAGCCTGACCTCCCAACCTCCAGCAGGGTGGGGGACTGGAGATTGAGTTCAACCACATGGCCAATAATTCAATCAATCATGCCTGTGTGATGAAATCCCAATAAAAACTCTAGATACTGAAGCTCAGCAGACCTTTCCTGGTTGGTCAACACTGATGTGCCAGGAGGGTGATGCATACTGATTCCATGAGGAGAGGGTGTACCTGAGGGCCCTCCAGGACCAGATCGACTGACCCCATCTTATCAACAGAGTGATTAAGAATCGCCTTTCAGAAAATTTGCAAAGTTGCATAGCCTGAGCATGTGCAGAAGAAATCTTGACCTGAAATGACCAGAGAACCAAAGACTCTCTTCCCCATGAACCAAAGGACCAGGACATGACTGGAACTTAAACATCACTCTTATCAGAAGCAAGCGGTCCGTCATTCCAGAAGATCCGGTGTTAAAATTCCTTTCCCACCTTACCATAAAGGTTTAGAAGCTCATCACAAATGCTTAAAACACAATCATAAATATTTAGAACCTAATCATAAACATTTAGAATCTTGCCATAAATGCCTGAAGACCACCAATCAAAAGCTGTCCCATCAGCGTTCCTGTGTGCCAGCCTTGTCTCCCTAACCTCTTAAATTGCGCCCTGAATACCAAATCAGGGAGGCAGATACGAGGGCACACACCCCGTCTCCCTGCAGATGGATCTCACAGAATAAAGCTGATCTCTTTTCCCAAAAGCTGATGCCATAATTAATTTATGCAAACCCCAATTAATTAACTAAAATTAATTTAAGAGAGCCCCAATTTTGTGTGGTAACAAGGGCATAAAAGCTCTGAATTTCCTCCCAGACTTTGCCCTGTGTGTCTCTTCATTTGGCTGGTCCTCCCAATTTGTAATCTTTATAATAAAACTATAATCATATCCTGAGTTCTGAGTCCTTCTAGTGAATTACCACTTCTGAGGGGGTCACGGGAAGCCTGGATTTATAGCCAGTTGGTGAGAAGTGTTGGTGGCCTGGGGACCCCCCCGGACTGTGGCTGATGTCTGGAGTAAGAGGACTATGCTCTATTTTAACTCCGGGTGGTTAGTGCCAGAAGTGAACTGCCATATATCCAGTTGTGGGTGAAACAAAATACAGAGAAATGAGGTGATCACTGGAAAGGGATGTGAGTTGAAGAAGAGGCATTGTGTTTGGGGCTAGGGCTACAACAGTGAATAGCTATTATGCTCTCTGATTTGAGCCAGGTTACAGCCTGATGGTAGAACGACGTCTAGACCAGAGGAAAGGATATGAGGACACTGATAAATTTAGAGAGAAGTTGATAGTCTCTGTTTTCTCAGTAAAATAGAAATTGGGTCTGAAAACAAAAAGCATTGAGATGGGCTTGAGGGCATGAGCTGAAATTGTAGAGGTCTGCAACAGCCACTTTTGAGACCAGAGAAAGGGGGCCAACTATAGATATGCTTCTCAAACTTGTGTTCTATGAAACACTGTTTCATGAGTTGTTAATATTTATCCCTCAAGAGAAAATGTTTCATGTTCAAATAAATTGGGAAATAAAGGAATTCTTTACTGCAGGATCTCATGAAGTTTTTAACATGTTAATACGTATTATTAATAATCTCCTAAAAACGGATCTAAGTAGATAAATTTCTCAGAGCACAGAACACTTTCTTCATGCCACTTATTAACATTTCAGAACGCCCGCCAGCTTGAGAAATATCAAATGAGAGAAAAGGAAAAATGTCGCCAAGCAGCATTACGGGCCGAGAGAAATCATAAATTGGCTACAGAGACAATCAGCAGGGGATTGTTACTATTCCAGAGCGTAGCTGACTGGAAACGAGATACAGCTGGATTTATCAGGGGCTGTCCAGACTGGCAAGTCAAAGACACAAGGAGATGGAAATATCACACTTCAGGCAGCTAGATTGATACAAGAGTTAAATTTGCACCATAATCTCCTCAAATAAAATCTATAGGATTTCAGCATATAAATTAGATGAAAACAGAACTTTTTTGATTGAAGGTAGGATTGGTAATGTGGAGAAATGAATGAATACATAAATGAACAAAAGAAATCCTCCTTAAATCTTACCAAGAAGTCTCCTAAGTTTGAAACTGGAAATTGTTTCTCTCTAAAACAATGACAGGGTTTATGATATTATTGGCATATTACTATAGTTTGGTTTCATAAAAGACTGTTGTGGGGCTGGCTTTCTAATACTATTTCTATGAGAAAAAGTGTCGAGGTTCTAAACAGTCTACTTAAAAATTGTGAAGAACATATAAAAATTTCACTAAGTTTCAGAAGAGAAAAAAAAATGTTCTTGGCTTATAACGAACGCTGTAGTTACTTTCTGAGAAGCTCTAATTGGAGGGAGGGCCCAATCACTCACTAGGCTTTCTCTCAACACTCCTTATCCTCTGCCACGCCACACCACGTTACCCCCATTTCTAAGATTCTGTTATGTCCCCAGGCTCATTACAATGGGGAGGGAAGGCAGGTGGGGAAAAAAAAAAGGCACTCCTGTGTGATACTGTGTGCTCTTTTGAAATGCTCTAGAAGTTGCCACTTTCTACTACCCTCTAACACAATGGTCACATGGGCAGAAAATCCAGCTGATCATAAGCAGAGATAACTCAGGATAACATATGGTCCCAATAAAATACAGGCTTAGCAAAGAGTAAGCAGGCAGACAAGAGGCTGAGTTGGGCCTAGGGATTTTTGAAAAAGAGTTTCTGGGAACCAGGCCTATTCAGAACAGAAACATAAAACGTTATAATTAAAACTCCGATAACAGTGGAAGGTTTTATTAAAAATATAAAGGCCTATTTCTTTTCCTATTTAATGGTAAAGGTAAAATTTATAGTGGAATGACTCCCAAAATTAAAATTTTAAGATAATTATTTTTTTCATTAAGAAACCCCAAAATTTGGAATATAAGAAAAATGATCTAGACTCCCACTGTCCTGCCAGAACCTGTGTTGACATTTTGACATACCTCCTTCTAGTCTTTCCAAAAGCCTTCTGATATGTTTGACTAAATGGGGTGGAATAGGAGAGCCTGAAGTGTTCTGTAACAACGCCTTCTCCTCCCAACCCAGCAGCCCCTGTAGGAGCACAGTCCTCCCAGGAGAGGATTGCCGTCCTCCGCGGACAGCCGATGCTCCACCCCATTCTCCACACTCTACTCTTCACCTTAGCCATTAGGATAGGGGTTCACACTTTTCTTCCTCTGAAACAACAAAAACTCATTAGAATCTTTACCACTGCATATTTTCCATGAAATAAATGTCTACAAATAGACATCAATTCATATGCCTTCATTAGGAATGGGGGGGAGGGATTCAAATGCAATTACTGTGGCAATCAAAGGTCTTTGTTGTTTTTAGAGCTTTTAAAATGGATTAATTGGGTCATTCAATTATTCAAGTGCAAAAAAACTCTGAGGCCTAATGTTTTATACAAGAGAAGACAACGAACTCTAGAAATATTTTGTTAATTTGATTCTAATTTCTTGTTCTTAAATAAAAACTTTAAAGCTGCTTATTTCTCATAAAATGGAATTGAACAGATAAATATAATTTAATTCAAAATAAAACATGATATTGACATGACGGAAAAAAAAAGCAAAGTGTTTTCTCATTAACAACATGAGTGTCATATTTTGCACTCTTATTCCAAGAGTCTGTACTATAAAATTAATAAAAACCAACAACTGATTACTAAAGGCCATGTATGTTGGGTTTAAGAAGGTATCAGTGTAACCTAGAAATATGCGAACAGAATGATCCAATAATTAGAAACATCAAGGTTTGGCTGCTGGTTTGGGCCACATGTAAGCAGCAAAGACAGGAAAGTAAGGAGGAAGCACCTGCTCCAGCCACAAGGGAAAAACGCAACTTTTAAGGCCAACTAGCATTCAAAAAAACAAATACACACCCTAATCAAAAACTAAAATACTCATATAATTAGAGGATTTTTGAAGTTAAAGGGATTTTGCCACAGAAGTCTCCCAAAAGCTGTAATTCAATTTGGTTAATGAAAAGTCATTCTTGTTTTCTTTTCTAAATAGATTCCCTCTAATCAATGTCTTCCTAAAGAACTACTAAAACCGAATATATAAAAAATATATATATATCCTACACTGTTGAGAAGGAAAAACTAATCTGAGCAGATAATGGAAAAAAGTCATTCTAAACAAAGAAAAGATGCTAACAGAAAATCTGATCTTACTTTTAATCAAATTTTTATTTTCAAAACAGCCTGGAAATTGACATTCACTTTTAAAAAGTTTAAATGACAACTGCATTAACTTACAAATGCACACTTGCAATTGTCACATCATGCATGTGTTTGTGTGCATACATATAAAAGATATCATCGGCCAAGGAAGAGCCAAACAGTAAAATGATCATCCACGTACTCACCCCCTGGATTCAACATTGCTAACACCCTGTCAAACCGCTTTCTCTATCTAGACAGATACATATTCTGTTTTTTTCCTGAATCATTTACATATTACAGATATCCTTCTCCATTGCTTGCTGCATACTGCATCGCTGCAACAACCAACTATATTCATTTGATTCTATCACCAATATGATTGCCCGATTAATTTTTCTAATAGACTTTTCACGATGTCACTCTTCTAATCAAGTGCCTACAATGGCTTCCTGCTTTTCCAATTCTAGATTTTCCAAGTCTTCTCATCTTCCCTTCCCTGACCTTCCTTTTTTTTCTTTTCAGGAAGATTAGCCCTGAGCTAACATCTGTGCCCATCTTCCTCTACTTTATATGTGGGACGCCTACTACAGCATGGCGTGCCAAGCGGTGCCATGTCTGCACCCGGGATCCGAACCGACGAATCCCGGGCCGCCAAAGCGGAACCTGTGCACTTAACCGCTGCGCCACCGGGCCGGCCGCCCTTCCATTATTTTGCGACAAGGAAAGCCTGCATTTACCTTGAACACAGCCTTCTGCCTGAAGTGCCCTCTTCCTGCTGTCCTAAATCCGAAACATCTTTCAAAGCTAAAATCCCATCTCAACTCTTAGGAAGCCTTTCTTCGCCAACAACCCCAAGCCATGTTGTTTTTGTTATTAAAGGCCCTACTTTTCCAATCACCACTGGAAACTAACACTTAACTCTTCTCTTATCACTTCATGCCTGTACTTACACGGTATCCCCAGATTGACTAGAAACTTCTTGTGCCCATTTAGCACTGTGCTCAGCTCAAAAAATTTTATTCATTAATGAATAAATAATAATTTCCTAGTTATACAATGCCTTGTTATAAAAGGAAAAAAGTCTTATTGCTCTCAGGGTACCACTTCAGTACCACATTTCGTATGGTGACCAGCCCACAACTCAGCAAACATCGTGAGTTTTGGGCCTAGGTCTAAAGATACACTGGACTCAGTCACATACTCGGGCACAGAGCTGTGCAGCCAGTGGTGTTGGGCTCTGCAGCTAAAAGGTCAAGACGAGTTGGGACTGGGGAAGCTGAGTTTTATGGTGGTGCAGAAACCGTGAGCTGAAAGAGCAAGCTGTTGGCGGAGAGAGATGCACAGAGAGAAGTTACAGGTAGAGAGAGACTGCCTCTAAGAGTAGGCTTGGTTCCTGGCAGCTTTCCAGTTCCCACAGCAGTCCCCGGAGTCTGGCTGTGCTGAATTTCCTACCCTCGGCTCCAGGCGCTTCCCTGTTAGATGCTACAGAAGTGGCCCCCTAATCCTGACCTACCTTGGTTTCTGTTTCTTTGGGGGTCACAAGAAGCTCAACCCAGACATTCATCATTATGAAACAACTAAAGCAAACGACTCTCCAGGTCCTCCTCTCAGATGCTAATAACCAGTACTCTTGGATAATTCCCTTCTCCACTCCACGCTGCAGGCCTCCCATCTACAGAACAAGACACGGAAGGATGGATGAATGGCTCCCAGTGGTACAGTCCACGGTCAGAATGTTTCCCTCAATACCACACTTTTCTTGTAGTACAAGCATCCCTCGTGTTATGTGCTATATACTTGCCTAAATCATATGATTTCTCCTGAAACATAGTCTTCAGATTTAGAATATAAATGGATATGTACTAATATAACCACATAATATTAGCACTGTAGATATTATACATTTTTTGGTGACATTTAACGTCTAAATTTCCCACTAAACATAAACTCCATGAAAGCAGGGACCATGTCTGTTTTTGCTTACCACTTTATATCTAGTGCCTATCACAGGGTCAGGCACTACTAACAGCTTAACAAACACGTGCTCAATGGATTACTGACAGGTATAAAATTTAGCTTAATAAGCAATGGTCCTGGGGCAGTTATTCCTAAGATCCACCTTAAACATAAAAATGGAACTTCTGATTCTCTTCTCCACTCACCTGACAAACCCCACCTCCCCCTAAACAGCTCCCCACCACCTTCCTGACCTCAGTAAATGGCATCATTTGTCACTAAGTTAGTCAAAGTAAAAGTCTCTGAGTAATCTTTACTTCCTCCTTCCCTCACATCCAATCCTTCAGCAACATATCTTGAATCTCTCCTCATCTATCCCCACCACCACTCTACTCTGAGTCACCATTAGCTCCTGCTTTGACTGCTGCAATGGGTTTCTAGGCACCCTGCTTTTACTCCCACCCCACTAGAATCACTTTTTTTCATTCAGCAGTCAGAGCCATCTAAAATATAAATCAAAGCACACATCTCTTACTTAAAACTCTACTAGTTTTGGGCCAGCCCCGATGTTAAGTTCAGCGCACTCTGCTTCGGTGGCCCAAGTTCAGTTCCTGGGCACGGACCTATACCACTCCTCTGTCAGTGGTTATGCTGTGGTGGCAGCTCAAATACAAAAAGAGGAAGACTGGCAGCAGATGTTAGTTCAGGGTGAATCTGCCTCAGTGCAAAAAAAAAAAAAAAAAGGCCATTGGTTTCTATCTGCACATGGAATAAAACCTACAATCCTCACGTGGCTTTTTGCAAGGCTCAGCATCATCCACCCTAGCCCACCCTCTCGTGTGCCGTGCTGCAACCACACGACCTTCTGCTCCTTCTTGCCTTAGTGCCTGCTGCAACCACACGACCTTCTGCTCCTTCTTGCCTTAGTGCCTGCACACCTCCTCGTCCCCAGCCCTGCCTCTCCTAAAGACAGCACCTTCACAAGTCTTCAGGTCTCCATTCTGAACCTTACCTTCTCCATCACTTCTCTTGCCATCACTATGTAAAGAACCCCTGCCCCTCTACTCACACAATTCCCAATGTTACCATATGGTTTCCATCATAGCATACTTATTCCTACCAGAAATCATTTTATTTATCTGTTGATCGTCTCTCTCCCCTCCACCAGCCTGTAAGCTCCTTGAGAGCAGCAACCCCGCACCTACAGCGGCGCCGGACATATAATCAGCACTCAAGAAAGAGTTTTCTGAATAAACAAACCTCTGTAGTATCTGTTTTGCTCTTTTAAACCACACTTATAACATATAAAAACCACCTCCTTGACATCGTCTCACTTGTTCTAGACACGGCACACTGTGCAAAGTATGATTAATGAAAGACTGCTTAAGTCTACGGATATAAGAGGAACTTTTAGCGGCACACCAGAATAGACTGTTAGATCTGGTTTATCACCAATCCCAGCGCTTTCTACAGTGTGCGCCAAGAGACTTCTTTGGGAAGAGAACCTGCTTCTTATTACTTTCCTCCAGATAGGCGCTTGCTCGTACTAACATAAAATTCATTACATCCTTTTTCAGGATGCTAGGCTCACTATTACACGATTCCTCAAATGCCAACTTACTGAAACCTAGCCCGTAGTGTTACACCTTCCCCTCGTTCATACAAGACATCTTGAATAGAAACAGAGCTACCATCAGGTGCCGTGACACACGCATCCCGAGATCACAGCATAAGGTCCCACCCCACCCTCCGCAGGGAACATCAGAAGCGTTGGGGGATCACTCACTCTTCCTCCCACCCGAGGGGGACGTCATCTCTCCCTCTGCACCCACAGCCTTTCACCTTCTCTGGCCCCTTCTGCCTTGAACTCGAGCCGCTTGCGTCCTGCTGTGCCCGCCTCCCAGGCGGAGAGCTCCCGCGGGCAGGAGTCCGCACCGCCGAGAGGCCAGCACGCGGGGACTCTCCGCGAGCACGGCGCGCTTCCCGCCCGCCCTCGGTTCGCTCCTGCGGCGAGAACGAGCCCCGCCTCCGGGCCGCCGAGAGCAGGGGCGCCGGCCTCCACCGCCTCCCGCCGTCTGGGACCCGGCGCCGTCTGGGGCGCGGCGGCGGCGCGGCACTCGGGAGGCGGCGCCCAGCCCAGAGTCGGTCCCCTCCTGGCGCGGCCCGGGCGGCGGCCGCGCGTCCGCAACCCCACGCGCCCTCGCGACGGTCGGGGCGAAGGCGCGTCACGCGCTCTGGACAGAGGCCCGAGCGGGGAGGCCGAGCGCCGGCGGGGGTCCTGCCCGGAGGCGAAAGCGCGAGGCCTCGGACCCCGGCGCCGCTCGCGCTTCGGCAGATGGCTGGGCGGCGCACGCGAGGGTGGAGCGGTCCTCGCCCGGCCCGCCCAGCACGCCCCGCCCGCTCGGACCTCGGGACGGGGGGTCACCCCGCGGGGCCGGCCCGGGGGTCGCGCGCACCCCCGCCCCCTGCCCGCGCCATCTTGGAGCGCTGAGGCGGCCTCTCCAGACGCCGCGAACCGCCGCTCCGGCCGTCGCTCACCCGCACTGCCCGGGGCCAGGCCCCCTGCCCCCTCCGCGACCGCTGCCACAGCCAGGAGCAGCAGCAGCGCGCCTCGCGGGAAGCTCCGCACGGCAGCCATGTCCCGGCCGCGGTCCGGAGCCGCGGGACACCCGCGCCAGCCGGCCGCCGCCGCTGCCAACGAGCCCCGCCCCGGCCCCAGGCCTGCGGTGATTGGCTGCCGCTGCCCGCGAGCCCCGCCCCGGCCCCGGGGCCTGCGGTGATTGGGCGCCGCTGCCCGCGAGCCCCGCCCCGGTCCCGGGTCTGCGGTGATTGGCTGCCGCGCGGTCGGGCCCCGCCTCTCGGCCGCACGGAGTTTCCAAAACCTGTTGCGGGCCGGGTTTCTGCTCTTTGTTATGCCCGGCTGTGTGGGGGCCTTGGCGCCCGGTCCCGCAGCCGGCGCCTTCCAAGAGGGCACTCAGGATGGCAGAGCTGCAAGGGCCCTTAGAGCGCCTTTGCCACCTCCCGAGGTTTGCAGATGCCGTCGCTGGGGCTTAGAGAGGGGACCGACCTAGCCAAGATCACACTGCAAGTTCTCCTGAGGACTAGCTTGTGGTCCAAGGCTCAACCAGAGGGACTTCTCCCTTTCACATACCCGCAATGATCCTCTTACTATCCTTTCTGCCCAGACGCTGCTTCACACCCAAAGAAGGCGTGTCGCCCGGGACAACTGGGCCTCCCCTAAAATCTGAGGAGCTCTGCCGCAGACATCGTCCCCTGACAAGGGCCCGAGGCATGGATTTGCCACTGAGGCTCTTTGGCACCTGTAGCCTCATGTTTCTTTGATGACCTATTAAGTACCTATTCCTATCAGGAAAAGCTGGGGGGAGGATGCTTGTGTATCTAGATATGGAGATCCTTGAACGTCAGGTTGAGTTTAGACTTTAAGAGACAATTTGGGGGTGGGGCCCCACTCACCCCCCTTACCCCGCAGCTACTGCGGGGAAGGTTTGAGAGGGTCCGCTGGCTGGCAAAGCTCACTCTCTCTCTCTCCCTCCCCCTCCTCTTGTCTGTCTCTGCTCTCGAATTAATACAGTTTTTCCCTCCCCTCCCTTTTTAAAAAAGCACCACCGTGGTTAAAATTTTTAAATCCCTTAATATCATTAAAATATCCAGTAAGTGTTTACATTTTCCTTATTGTCTCATAATTTCCTTTTACAGTTTTTCAAATTACAATCAAAGTCCATATATTGAGGTTGGTTTGTATCTCTTTCAGGTCTCCTTCTGTCTATTCTCTTTGTTTTAAGTTTGCAAGAGGAAAACAGAATAAATTATGATAATCTTTGTAAACATCTGCTCCGAAGACAGCTCTCTGGCTCAGACTCTCTCGCAGGCCCCCGCTTTTCCTTCAGGATGCAATGATGTGCGGTTATTTAACGGTGTCAGAGGTTCTCAGCGATTGGACCCAACCAGCTTCCTCTCCACTCCCTCCCTGCGCCCCTGCCACCATCCTGTCAGATCCTTTTACCTTCTCCCAGACCTCCCAGCTGCTTTCACCCCCTGTCACAACAGGTGTCTCTGCCCAGAACCCCCCAGTTCCTGTGGGAACCGGTCTCAGCTGAGGGAACGGATGGTTGCTCTGGGCCCAGCTGTGCCCTGGAAGCACTGAGCAGGCAATGGGCTCTGCGTAAGATCAGCACATCTCCCTTTACCTGGGACTGTCCTGGTCTTAAACCTGAAAGTCCCATGTCCCAGGAGCTTCATTAGTACCAGGCAAAATGGAACACAGTGTCCTTAGCTCTCTGCACCTCAGAAAATGTCATAAGGGAAGCCTGTAGGGGGCTTCCGTATGGAAAAATAGGGTCACACAGGTTGCAATCTTGGTTGTATACATTCTGCGTTTTGACAAATGTATAATGACATGTAACCACCAGCATTCTTTCTGCTTTTTTACATGTGGCTATTAGAAAACTTAAAATTACATATGTGGTTCACTTTGGGGCTCCCATTATATTTCTATTCTACATACTGGTGTGATTATCTTTTATTCTAGACAAAGGCTGATGCTTAGAGATCAGTATGGCACTTTAAAAATGTTTCTCACCAATGATTTTGTCCTGAGTGCAAAAGAATCTTTCTGTATTTTAGACAAATAAAACCCATCAAATCTTTTGATTCATGTTTATGTGGTATCATTTCTCCATCATTTTGCTTTTAACTTGTTTCTTTATATTTAAAGTAGGTTTCCTTTTTTTCTATTTTCTTTTTTAAAATTTATTTTTTAATTGAGGTCGCATTGGTTTTAACATTATATATATTCAGGTGTACATCATCATATTTCAACTTCTGTATAGACTACATCATGTTCACCACCAAAAGTCTAATTGCCATCCGTCACGCTACACGTGTCCTTTTACCCCTTTCACCCAACCCCCTCCCCTCTCGTAACCAGCAATCTATTCTCTGCATCTATGTTTGTTGTTGTTTATCCTCCACATGTGAGTGAAATCATATGGTATTTGGCTTTCTCTGTCTGACTTACTTTGCTTAGCATAATAGCCTCAAGGTCCATCCATGTTGTTGCAGATGGCACGATTTTTGTCTTTTTTTAATGGCTGAGTAGTATTCCATTGTATATATATACCACATCTTCTTTATCCATTCACCCATTGATGGGCACTCAGGTTGTTTCCAAGTCTTGGCTATTGTGAATAATGCTGCGTTGAACATAGGGGTGCATATATCTTTTTGAACTAGTGTTTCATGTTCTTTAGATAAATACCCAGCAAGGGAATAGCTGGATTGTATGGTAGTTCTATTCTTAATTTTCTGAGGAATTTCCATCCTATTTTCCATTGTAGCTGCACCAGTTTCCATTCCCACCAGCAGTGTATGAGGGTTCCCTTTTCTCCACATCCTCTCCAACACTTGCTATTTCTTGTCTTTTTAATAACAGCCATTCTGATGGGCACGAAGTGATATCTCATTGTAGTTTTGATTTGTATTTTCCTAATAGTTAGAGATGTTGCGCATCTTTTTGTGTACCTGTTGGCCATCTGTATATCTTCTCGGGAAAAATGTCTGTTCAGATCCTCTGCTCATTTTTCAATTGAGTTGTTTGGTTTTCTGTTGTTGAGTCGTATGACCTCTTTATATTTATTGGATATTAACCCCTTATTGGATATATGATTTGCAAATAACTTCCCCCAATTGGTAGGTTGTCTTTTTATTTTGTTGATGGGTTCCTTTGCCATGTAAGGTAGGTTTCTTGTAGAAATCATGTAGTTGGTTGCTTTGTTTCTTTTTAATCGAATCTGAGAATATCTGTCTTTTAATTGGAGTGTTTAAACCACTCAGATTTGATGTGATTATGGACACGATTGAGTTTAAATCTACTGTCTTGCTCTTTGTTTTCTCTTTGCTCCATTTGTTCTTTTCTCCATTTTCTACTTTTCCTCTTCTCCTACCTTCTTTTGGAGTAATGGAGCGCTATTTCCATGGTTTTGTTTTCTCTCCTCTGTTGGCTTATTGGCTCTACTTCTTTGTTTCTCTTTTCAGCAGATGCTCTAGGGTTCTTAGCACACATTTTAACTTATTACAGTCTACCTTCAAATAGTAGTTATTGCTTCGTGTAAAATGTAAGAACATGGCAACAGTATCCTTCCACTTTCCCCTCCCATCTTTTGTGCTAATGTTGTCATACATTTGCTCCTATGCACTGTTAGTATTTTGCTTTAGATAGTCAATTATTTTTTAAAAGATTATAAAAAGAGATTATGAAGTGTCTTTTATATTTACCCACACCTTAAGCATTTCTGATGCTCTTCATTCCTTTATGTAGCTCCAGATTTCTCCCTGGCATCATTTTTCTGCTGCCTGAAATCCTTCCTTTATTTAACTTTTATTATATTGCCAGTCTACTGGCAATAAATGCTCTCGACTTTTGTTTGTCTGAAAACAGTTTTATTTTGTATTCACTTTTGAAAGATATTTTCACTGGATATAGAGTTCTAGGCTGACTTATTTTTTTCCTTTGCAACACTTTAACGATGTCATTCAGTTGTCTTCCGGCTTGCGTAATTTATGACAAAAAGTCTCCTATAATTCTCATCTGCTTTTCTCTGGGTAACGAGTCTTTTCCCCTCTGTTTGCTTTAAAGTTTTTTGGGTTTTGTCTTTAAACCACTGGTTTTCAGCAATTTGATTATAGTGTGCCTTGGTGTGGTCTTTTTGCATTCCTCCTGTTTGGGGTATGTTGAGCTTCTGGGACCTGTGGGGCTGTGTTTCCTTTCCATCAGATTTGGAAAAAGTTTTGGCCACTAATTTCTCAAAGCTTTTTCTGCCTCCTCCGATTAAACGGAGTGAGATTGGTAACCAAGTCTCTGTTCTTTTATTTTTTTTCCCAAATTCTTTTCCTCTCTGTGCTTCACTTTGGTTAGTTTCTATTGCTACATATTCAGGTTCACTCTTCTTTCCTCTGCAGTATTTCATCTGCTCTTAGTCCTTTCCAGTGTATTTTCATTTCAGTATATTTTTAATTTATAGAAATTCCCTTTGCATCTTTTTATATCTTAATTTCCCTCCTCATTATATACATGTTTTCCTTTGTATCCTTGAACATATTTATAATAGCTAATTTAATGTCCTTGTCTGATTCTGTCATCTCTATATGTTTCTATTGATGGATTTTTCTCCTGATTATGAGTCATATTTTCCTGCTTCTTCCCATGCTGGACAAATTTTGATTGTGTGCCATACTTGTGAATTTTATATTTTGAGTGCTGAAATGTTTTTGTGGGTGTGGATTCATTTAAAGAAGTTAGGCTTTGTTCTTGTATGCAGTTAAGTTACTTGTGGATCTGCTGAGATTACCCATTCATTTATTCAATATGACTGTATTTTCCTTTAAGTACTTTCATATATGTATAACAAGTGCTTTAAAGTTCTTGTCTGCTAATGCCAACATCTGGGTAATCTTGGCGATGAGTTCCATTGACTGTTTTGTATTCTAGGTAATTGGTTACATTTTCCC